GCGAACTTTTTTACGTCACACCTGGTAGGGACTGACGTAAAAAGTCCAATCTACGTCAGAGGTATGTTTGTCCGACGTAGATTTGACATTTTACGTCGGACCCTACCAGGTCCGACGTAAAAAAGACGCAAATTTGAATAAGAGAGCGCGAGGCACAACGCGCGCATTCATTTTTCATCACTTTTCATTTTTTTTCTCTGTAAACCCTCTCTCTCTCCTTTGTTACTGAATCGTTTTTTTGTTTTTTGCAGAGGGATGAACTCTTTGTTACTCATTTGCACATTATTGCTGCTCCTCAGGTTTGAAACAAGGTTTCGTTAGCACTTTTCTACTTAGCATTGCTACTCTGGCTATCTGTTTTATTCGATTTTTTGGTTGTTCTATTTGTATAGGTAGTGGACGTTTTTTTTTTGTTGTTCTGCAAGCAGAACGGCCCGTTCTGCAAGCAGAACGGCTGCGTTCTTTTGTTTTTGTTTTTGTTTTTGTTTTTACTACTTCTTTACGTCGGATTACGTAATGTCTGACGTAAATTTACGTCGGGTTTGCAGGTCCGACGTAAAATTTACGTCTCCCGCTTCTACGTCGGTACCTTTTCTGACGTAAAAAACCTAAAATATCCGACGTAGTACACCTCTTTTGTACTAGTGATATGAATGCATTGACATGCAAATGACACCACTTCTTTAATATCATATATTATATATATAAGGATGGATCCGTTTACTTCAGGAATAAGTCTACTTACATTTACTCTATTCGATAACTCATGCTTTATATCAAATCTCAATGATCCAACATTGAATTTAAAGTTCTTAATGCATAGATTAAATCTGCAGATTTTTAAAAAATTTGAAAACCATTTGATATTTCGTTTCATTAATTCAAATTGACGGATAATCATAAAAACATGTTATCGTTAATTTAAATTAATGAAACAAAATATCAAATAATTTTTAAATTTTTTAAAATTTTATAAATTTGATTTGTACATATGAACTTTAAATTCAACGATTGGATTGTTGAGATTTGATATAGAGTCTACAAAATAAAAGTTCTTAATGCATAGATGAACTTCTCAAATTTTTAATTTTTTTGAAAACTACTTAATAGTTTATTTCGTTAATTTAAATTGATAGATAATCATTAAAGCATTTTATACTTTGATTTGAATCTATATAATGAAATATCATATGATTTTAAAATTTCTAAAAATTTGTAGTCTTGATATACATTAAAAAAATTTAATTTAACAGTTAGATCATTGAAATTTAACATACACCATAATTTATTGAATGAAGTAATTTTACCTGAAATTATTCTTTGAGTAATTTGATCCTCTCTCTCTATCTCTAATTGACAGATTACTATAAAAATATTTTATATGTTTATTTAAATCTATATAATAAAGTATCATATATATGATTTTTAATTTTTTTAGGGTTTAGAGTTTAGGATTTAGGATTTAGGGTTTAGGATAACCCTAAAATCATATATATGATTTTTAATTTTTTTAAAAAATTTGTAGAATTAATTTATACATTAAGAACTTTTAATTTAACCGAAATTCAACCTACATCATAAATTATTGAGTAAAATAACTTTATCAAAAACTACTCTTCGAAAAATTTAATTTATCCTCCATATGGATATAAACATACGGGACATTAAGTGATCACATCCTACATGCAAACCTTTACCGGATATTCATGTTATTACGTACACTAAATATTCCACCTCCTTGGACTAGTGCTAGAAAATATTTTACATGCAAACTAGGACCGAAGAACATTTTTTTTTTCAGCAAAGAGAACATAATATATAAACAGGTACAAGGAGTTCCCAAACTCTTTTTAGAAACTCCAAAACTTCAAACACAATGGTTATATCCTAATTAACTAAACATTGCTAAATAAAATATAACCATATAGGAAGGCTTGTTTCTTCTACCGATAAACCGCTGTCACAAAATTCAAGCTTAAGCAAAAGGGACACAATAAGATGTACTTGATAAAACTATATGTTAATATTCAAACAAATAATGTTAAAAAGTGTCCGTTCTTCATGTATTGTTAATGAAATAATTAAAAAAAAATTAAGAAAGTAAATCGAAATCTAATTTAACCTAATTGGTGTAAATTCTCCACACACCTCTTACATCAATAATTATAAAATTTTGAATGTAAAATTTGTAAAACTAAATATCTGTAAATAATTCAACAACTTGATAGAAATTAAGTGGTTTGGTAAACAGAACAAAAATAATTGTTAGGATATATAAACTATAATATTATCTTAAAATAGTGGATTAGAGATAAGATTGTAATAATATATAAATAAAAAATAATCATTACTTTACAAATTAATTTTTTAAAGTTGAATTATGTTCTAGTTCACTTTTTTAAGAACTTTTTTTAATATATTTTTTCAATTATATATTTTTTTAATATTTAAAATTTTATTTATTTTTTAACTAACATTTTTGTTGGCACTGTGCTAATTAAAATACAATGAATGGATTATTTGAAACGTTTAATTTTAATTTTTAAGGGTTAAAAATACAACTTTATACTAGTAAAAAAAAACTGCTTTACTTGTTTGGAACGTGTTGCTACATAATAGTGGGTTAACTTTTAAAAGAATAAATTAAATTGAGGATATTTGTTAGATGAGAGGTTTTATTATGTTTAGAAATTATGATTCTTAGAAATAATTAAAATATGTTTGGTACTCATAAAGGTTTTTATTAGGAATATTTATATAAGATTTATGATAATTAAAGATTTACATGTTTAGGTACTATTTTAGTAAAGGGATACCAGCCAGAGAATCCTTAGTGAAATGAATCCTAAGAGAACTTAGTCGTTGTCTCGATCAAGAACATTCCAGAATGAGAAGAACCTGTCTTTCACCAGTCCCTTTTAACCTGCCTTTCACTGGTCTCCTTTATCTTTATTTATATGGGTCCATATACGTGATACGGATCTTTGATCCTCAATCCTTTAATTAATGCGCGCAGATCCCCCTCTGTAATGAGTTTATGAATCGTATTTATAATCGTAATTAAACCTACACAAAAATCACGGAAATTACGACTTTGAAGCGTTTTACCAGAACTCACTCGTCAATACATCGATAACTAGCCTAAAATTCGGGTTGCTCGGTCGGATGGGGACCAGGAAGATATGTATTGTTCGGCCTGCTCGGCCAATTAAAAACCAGGAGGGTACACGTAAGATATATTCTTGAAAATATAAATACTTTTTACAAAATTATTTTTTTTTGGTAACGGACGAAAACAAAACCAAAGCAAACAAAATCAAATTACAACAGTAGAAAATGAACACCAGCAGCATTAGCGAATAGTTTGTGACAGACATCAACAAGAGGGACCTCATGGATATTTAATCAAATATCAGCAGCTGACTCCATTTTTGTTAGTGCAGCTTACCTCAGAATCAATTTCCAATCTTGGTGAACCAATTCTTTCAGCTCACAGAGTCACAAATCAGGACTTATGGACAGTTTTACAAACTATTTTGAAACATATTATGTCGGTACCGTTATGAATCTTATGATGTATAATGATATCAGTGATATGCCATTTTTTTAATGTTATGCAACATCATGTAGCATGTTATATTGAAATTGAAGAGTTAATAGCGACAAAATGATATCATTATTAGCACAATGATTTATGATCGATTAAAAAAAATAATTTTTTAGGTTATTATTGGCTATTTTTTAGTGTCCCACCTATCATATTTAGATCGTTATATATATATATATATATATATATATATATATATATAA